ACTGTCAAAAAATTAGTCAACGTGAATAGTGAAAGCTTTCTTCGGATTCACTTTATTTGAAGAGCGCAGGGATAAGGAAATAGCCGAGTGGTAAAAAGTGCTAACACAGTTACTGGCGTCTCAATAGTGTTAAGATCTTGCTCGGACGTTTTTTATGAAGCGCTGGATTTTACCGGGAAATTTTTAACGATGCAGTTACATCTATTCAAATAGAATTGTACCACTTTCAAAATGTGTTTCTTTTCAAATTATTAAGAAATTGAGGATTTGTGCCTTCAAAATCGGATTAAAACAACTGGTGTATGAAAGCATACGAGTATTATCACTAACATCTGGTACCCACACCGATTGTTTAGGCGGTCTTGATATTCCTGCTGTATGCAGTCAGTCAGGTCGGCGAAAAATGTTTTATAATAGTGATTGCTTCTGCTGCATTAGCACTACGGTAGAGAAATCTTTATCACTTCAGCTAAAAGTTCAAATTCCTATCAAATTATCAGTTCACTATTTAAAAAGCTCTTACCACTTACATTTCAAAAAAAAAAAATTACCAACTAAAACAGCGCATTAAAGATTCGCTCGGAATATGGGTGGCAAGAGTATTGGCAATATCAGGCAGAAGCAATCGAAGCGCTAAATGCAGAGCGAAAATTCACTAACAAAATTGACGATTGCAGCGGCGCGAAATGGTACTCTCTGAAGTACACAGTTTATACTCGTGGTAAGCCTTTATCCCTCAAAATTTTTTTAGAGTTGAGAGTCAGGGCGGAAAAAGATTAGCGTGCAAAAGGTCGAAAGTCTCATTCTGACAGTGGGACAACCACTCCTTCTACGATTCGTTTCGATAGCGAACTGGTAGTGGCTCGCGCCAAGGAATCAACACTGCTAGGACCACCACAAGCTTGCTTCTAAATAATCCTCAATAAAAGGCACTATCTAAAGCCTTCTCAATTGGTAATTACTGTTCGCACGCGCTACCATCGTCAGTAGGGGCAAACAGCGTGAATTTATTTACGTAAAATTAGTCAGTTACCGTTGTAACAAATTGTAGTACTACTGGTCTGTTGCTTGTCATTCGTTTTAATTTCTCTTTCTGGAGCAGTTAGCAGAATCTGCTTTTTCGTTAGTGAATTCCATTCATTTATTGGGCGCTCAAACTGATTTTGTAATATCGCTTTTGGTTTTCCCAGTGTTCTTTTTTTTGAAAAATTATTGATGAGGAAAATATTTTAATCTTTCTAAAAAATCTTCGTGAAGATGATTGTTAATCTTATAATATCATTCTCCCGAAAAATTCGTTTAATTGCTCCTTCCATTCTTAGTATGGATGTCTATATCATGGCCATGCCTGGTATGATGATCATCGTCACAACGATCATTTGCAGCTGTTCCTTTCTTGCAGGCCGTCTATCTACACTTTACAGATTCGAGTTGCTCGGACTGCTATGATTTCTGCCTACCAGACTATGCGATTCAACGACTGCATAAATATGAAGACGATATGACTATCGGGATTCGGCGGCTAAACTGCTTTCGTTTATATGTTCCCGAATGGGCCAAGTATCAACCAACAGCTGACAGCCACGGTGGACATTGGTCTTACCCAAAAATCTCATCTAATACGCAAAGGGATTCTTCTGGTAATTGGGTCAGTTGGAATCCTGGTGGTTAGATCACTTCAAATGTATTATTAAATTCACTGCATGACAGCCAAAAAGAAAGAAAATAATTTTTCTTTAGAAGAAGGATGTGCTAAAGGAATTAGGAAGATTATGATGTAGGACATTTCAAAACATATGCAACATAAGGAGTTTCAAACATGTCGCACTTTCACAGCATTCAACAATTCCTACAAAAGTGAATGTACCATTTTGGTTCTTGGATCAGCTGCAGTTCATTGTCTTTTCTCCATTTATGCATCTCGCAATTTTTATGCGTTTTTGCCGTGCAGCGCTAGAGCGCTGCAACAGGCAGCAAAAACGCATATTG